CAGGGGAGGGCAGTAGCGGGGGTGGGGGACACTCACCTTGCCAGAAAAAGCTTCCTGGGCCTCCAAGCAGCACTCGCCCGGTCTGCAGAGCAAAGAGCCTGGTCAGAGCCACAGGGCGAGACCCTGAAAGGGGGGAGGGACATGGGGGGAGGGGGACTATCCCCAGCGGGGTGTCACTGGGTTCCCCCCTTTCCCACCAAGCAACTACTGGTGTCCCCCCCACCCTCAAGGGAAAGCCAGGATAGGTGGGTTCAGAGTCCCCCACTGGGGGTAGCAGAGTCCGCAGGCCCAGCCATGTTGGGCAGAGCGGGGTTCCATGCTGTCCCCCTCGGGGTTGGGGGGACATGGGAGAAGCTGCCGCTCTCTGTGTTGTCCCCTCAGGCTTGATGGATGCCACAAGAGACCTGCCCTGGCACAGGCAGTTGGGTGGGGGGAGAGCAGGCAGAGACTCCCCCGTCCCACTTGTGGGCCACAGGGGATGCGACCTGGATGGGCCGGAGGGGTTGGGATGCTCCTCACAAGGCCCCACTCCCAGTATCCAGCAATTTCCAACATGTGGGGGGTGGCACATCAGAACATGCTCCTTCCAGGGGGTCCTGCCCCTCTGCCTGCTAGGGGAGCGCTCCTGTAGGCGGTGCCTGTCCGGGGGCTGTCCTGGAGGAACCCAGCTCTCCCCCACAGACATGCTGGGGCAGCAGGCAGGGGGTGCTCTGTGGCTCCCAGCGCTCCGGGGCACAGCGCATGGCATCAGGGCCTCTCACCTTGGTGAACTCAGCGCTGAAACCACCCTGGCAGTACCCCTGCCCCGCCTCTGAATCCAGATCTGCAGCGAGAAACACCAGTGAGGGGAGAGCGTGCAATGGGGAGGGAGGCATGGGGGCATCAGGACTGTGGGCTCCCTGCCCCGTTCCAGCTACTAGGCTCCTCTCCCTACCTTCCCAGATAACACTGTTGCCACCCACTCAGATGCCACCCTTGGGAACATGTGCTCAGTCCAGCACATGTGAGGGAAACCTGGGACACCACGGACCCAGATGGAAAGATTTCCTGATTATCCCTCTAGGCTGTGCTGCTGCCCAGCCCAGCCCAAGGAAGGGGCACCAAAGGGACTCTCCCCCCATACCTGTGCGGCAGGGCGAATACTCCACGAACTTGGTGAAGTTGCTGACAGACAGGTAGCAGGTGCCCACGGGGTCTCGGCTGGACTCCTCCTTGATGGTGCGCCAGCTGTACAGGGGGGCACAGGCCTGGGGTGGGGACAGAGCAGCTGGGTCAGCAGCTGCTGGGGAAGTGACGCAGGCATAGGAGGCCCTGCTACATGATGGTGTCCATGAACCCACTATCTACTCTAGCACAGAGTGGGGCCAGGCAAGAACCTCCTACCCCACACCAGGCCGAGAATCCAACATCCATCCCGCTCCCGGGTGGGCACTGCCCAGCCGGAGTCCCCCTGTGCCATTCTCACCAGGATGGAGCTGCCGTGGGACCGCACTGTTGCGCCGAACCATTGCAGGGATTTGAACTCCACTGGCACCAGCCCGTCCAGGCCAAAGTCATGTGGGCGGGACCCTGCAAAGACAAACTTGGTCACAGACGGGCTGGGCTCCACGACCAGCACTAGCCGCTCCCCCCATGGGGGCCTGGGACACAGCTCGGCTGCGCAGTGGGCAGCACTGACCCGACAACCCAAGGGACAGCATGGCCCTGAGGCCCCGACAACTGGGAGGGAGCTGCTGGCATAAGGCAGCCCCCTTGCAAATGCAGAGGTGGGGTGTAGGACTGCATGCTCCGAGCTGTCTCGAAAGGGGACAATTGGTCAAAGTGTCCCAGGAAGGGACAGTCTGTTGCCCTCCCCAGCCCCCCGACCGCTTGTCAGGAAAACACAAGTGGAGATGAATTCCTGGAAGAGCAAGAACTCCTTCTCTCCCCCTGCACTGGACCCACTGCTACTGCACTGTGCCCCTGCCCCCACTGCAACCACCCTGCCCTGTATCCCTTCCCACACCCACAACCCCTCTCCTGCACACCTGACCCCAACCTGCACTGCAACTTGCTGCCCCCATACAGCCCCCTGCATCCTACGCTGTAACATCTGGGACTTCTTTCCCCTAATCCGCCCTCTCCCATCATCCACACTGCCCTCCCTCTTCTGCAGTGCACCTCCCTGCCCCCACATTGCCTTGGGAGGGGGTTCCTGTATCCAGTCCTACCACAGCTGCCTCTTGCATCCCCCTTTCTTCCTCTTGTCTCTCCCCCCACATCTTGGCTCTAGGGCACAGGGGGGCACACTAAGGCTGGCAAGCTACAGCCGGCCAATCAGAGCCTTCAGTCTGGACCCCAAGCTCCAGCAGGGGTCTGGACAGTCTTGCTGCAGAGAGCCAGCCCAACTCCCTGGCAGTGCAGCAAGCAGGGGTGGCTAGTCCCCGGCTCTGCCCCTTCTGCCCCTTCCCTCACAGCTTCAGCTTCCCCCTGTGCCTGGGACGCGCCATCAGGGGGTGGGCAGCAGGGAGGGCTGGATGGGGAGGGAGATCCTGGGGGGACAGTCAAGGGGCAAAGGAGCGGGGGGGCTGGATGATGGTAGGGGTGCTGTTGGGGTCTGGGGCAAGGACTGGGGGGCGGGTGGATAGGGGGCAGGAGCCAGGCCATACCTGGCTGTTGGGGGGGACACAGCCTTCCTTATCCTTTCCTACCCAGCTCTCCTTACAATTCCCCTACCAGCCCTCAGGCCAAAATGTTTGCCCACCCTGCTCTGGGGTTGATGAACCCAGAGCCACCTGTGGTTCATCATTAACCACTTATCTCAGCAGGGGATCATGGCCCCAGAGCAGGAGACCCAGTGACTCCAGCTGCCGGCAGGGTGCTGAGGGGAGCGAGGGATATCCTTTCCTACCCAGCTCTCCTTACAATTCCCCTACCAGCCCTCAGGCCAAAATGTTTGCCCACCCTGCTCTGGGGTTGATGAACCCAGAGCCACCTGTGGTTCATCATTAACCACTTATCTCAGCAGGGGATCATGGCCCCAGAGCAGGAGACCCAGTGACTCCAGCTGCCGGCAGGGTGCTGAGGGGAGCGAGGGATCGGCCAGCAGGGCCGGGAGGCAGCTGGGCCCCGTCCGGGAGGGGTTGG